TCGCTATAGGCCATAGCGCCACTATTATAAATATATATATATATATATATATATATTTATAAAATAAAGAAATTAATCGAAAAATAAGTTTATAAATTAGTAACTAAAATTATATGATAATATAAAAATAAAGAATTAAAAAAATAATATAGTTAAAAATTTTATAAAAAAAAACGTGAAAATAGATGGCGCTATGGCCTATAGCGACACTGTGTCGCTATAGACCATAGCGACACAGATGGTGGTTGAAAATTTATTACAGTTGCCACGTGTCAAATGACCGCAGATTCATCCACTGCTAATTTGACACGTGGACTTCGAACAGTAAAAAAAAAAATTGGCTATATAATGGTTTTTACCCTCTTCAGATGGTCCCCTCCTCACGTTTTCACTCTTGCCTCCGAGAATCAAGGTAAGTTTTCTTTTTTTTAATTTATGTGTTGAATTTAGTTTAAAATGATTTAGTTATTTTTAAATTTTGTGTAACGTTTAGATATTTAAATTATTTTTTCAGGTTATTTTGTATTTTTTCAGAGTTCCAGATTTATTCAAGCTTTCAGGTATTTTATATTTTATTAATTTGTGTAATTTAATTAATTTTATTCATTTTTATAGTTACTGTAATTTATATATATATATATATATATATATATATATTGTAATTATTTGAAAGTCGCTGTGGGCTACGTCATTTCACGTAAATTATATAAAAACTGATTTTAATTAAATTTAATATTTTATAATTTAATTCTGTGTAAATATTAAATTATGAGTGTATATTTTTTTGTGTGTAATTTATTTAGTTATATTTTTGTGAAATTTTTATTTATTCTAAAAATAAAGATATTTAAATTTTGAATTTATTTATTTTAATTCTGTTTAATTTATATTTATTTAGAAAATAATTTAATTTAAATTATAAATTCATTTAATTTAATAACGTGTTATTTAAATTCTTAAAAAAAAATATTTAAATTTTAAATTGAATTAAATTATTTCTGTGAAATTTATCTTTATTTTAAAAATAATGATATTAAAATTTTGAATTGATTTATTTTAATTCTGTGTAATGTAAATTTATTTAGAAAAGAAATTAATTTAAATTATAAATTCATTTATTTTAATAACGTGTTTTTTAAATTTATTTTAAAAAGATTTTATGTAAATTTTAATTTGAATTAAATTATTTGTGTAATTTATCTTTATTTTAAAAATAATGATATTTAAAATTTAATATGATTTAATTTAATTCTGTGTAATGTAAATTTATTTCAAAATTAGTTTTATTTAAATTATAAATTAATTTAATTTAATAACGTGTTATTTAAATTTATTTTAAAAAAATTTTATGTAAATTTTAAATTGAATTAAATTATTTGTCTAATTTATCTTTATTTTAAAAATAAGGATATTTAAAATTTAATTTGATAATTCTGTGTAATGATTGTAAACTTGCTATATAGGGTATATAATTTTAATTTATTAATATAATATATTATTTTTTTAATTTGTTATTTATTTATTTTGATTGTGTAAATTTTAGTTATATTTATATAATGTTTTAAATTTTGTGTAATGATTTTTAAGTTGTTATTTTAGTTTATTTATATTTTATATAATGTATTAAATAATTTGTTGTTAAATTTTGTTATAGATGACATCATCTTGTACATCTATGCGTGTGAGTTGTGGACCCGTTGAGGAGGATTTATTGTCATTGCAATCCATACATGTTTCACAACATGTTTGGAATAGAGAAGAAGATAGGAGATTATTAGCACGACGTGCTGCTCCAACACGCAATGGAATTGACGGAATTCCACATGTTATAGTTTCGTTATTAGACCAGGCTGGATTTGGATGGATTGCTCGGTTGAGTTATATCAAAGTGAGTCCTGGTTTATTAACTGCTTTGGTAGAACGATAGAGACCAGAGACACACATTTCACATGCCATTTGGAGAATGCACAGTTACTCTCCAAGATGTTGGTATGATTGTTGGTCTTCCAGTTGACGGTCAAGCATTGTTAAGTCGAGGCAGTGCTAATATATTTGAATTAGGTACTAAAATAACTATACTTTAAGTTTTATTTTTTTGTTATAGTGATTGTGTTTTATAATTTTTTAAATCGGTAAATAATTTGTTTTCTTTTATGCAGCTCATGATTTTTTAGGTGTGATTCCACCTGAGTCAGAAATAAAAGGACATAGGGTCAAGCTATCTTGGTTGGCAACATATTTTAATGAGATTGCAGATGATCTACAGGAGGTACATCAGTTGCTTCCTTATGCTCGAGCTTGGATACTACGGTTTATAGGAGGGCTTCTGTTTCCGGATAGATCTTCCAGCTATGTCTCATTGAGGTGGTTGGCGTTCTTAGGTGACTTCAGACCATTAAGACGTATGCATGGGGTGCAGCTGTGCTTGGATGTTTGTATCGCAATTTATGCACCTCAACTGATTACAAAACGCCAAGCTGTGGTGGGTTTACACTGTTATTGTAGTTATGGGCATGGGAACGATTCCCAACCATTCTATCTTCTCCATTCCCACCTATTCCTGCAGCCAGTCCTATTGGTTTAAGGTATGATCAAATTCAAATATTAACATTTTTAAAATTATTCAAAAAATTATAGAGAAATTAATTGTTTACATTTTGATTTCAGGTGGTCCAACACAGCCACTAAAATAAGCATGAGCGATGATATTAAATTTTATCGCAAATTCTTTGATCGGTTGACCAGAAAATCTGTAAGTAAATAAAATTTTAGGGTTTACGATTTTCATTATGCAAGTTATTAGTATTTTAATATAAACTAATTAAATTTTTTTATTTACAGATTATTTGGCAACCATATCCGCCTTTGGAACAGATGCCCGAGGACTGCACACAGGGGATTTGTATTTGGGGTTCTGTAATCCCGTTACTTTCTCTGTGTATTTGTGAATGGCATCAGCCTGATAGGGTCATGAGGCAATTTGGTTACCAACAACCAGTTCCAAATCCTCCAATGACTCCTGCTCATGTGCATGCGTTGACCCTGCGGGGAAAGACTGATGACGATTGGACTACAATATTAAGTCCAGCACTTGAGCACTGGGCCAATCGATATGCATACCACTTTGCACCTACTTCTCCACAGGTTGGACTATTAGGTCCAAATTCTGAATACATGAGGTGGTATCGCAGAAAGGGGAAATTGTACATTGATCCTGATGAAGTTAAAGACTCGATTGTGGTATGTACATATTACAACTCATATTTTAATATAATATTTTGTTAAATTATAAAGTGGTAAACTAATTTTTTTATGTCTTGTATATGTAGGGAGACGTAACTGAATGCTTGGCATACTTGACATCTCCTCATGGCAGCCCAGAGTTTTCTATGGAAGCAGTCACAGAGCAGACTAATCGATTATTATCGATATCTGATGACTATAGGGCTAGATTCGTTGAGCCAGCTGAGGAAGCACCCCTTCCCCCTGGTTCATATGACGTGGGGACTTTCAATGTTCCTCCACAGTCAAGGGAGGTTGGAGGGTTACCTAGACGAAGAACGCCAGTTGAGGCGATGGATCAGATGTACCCTACAGTGCCAGACAGAGCAGCAGGGTTATATTATATTCCTTCTCAGGAGCCCACTTATCCATCGCAGTCCCAATACACATATTGGTACACCCCACCTTGCCCTCCATGTTTTGAGACATTAGTTCCGATGACTACTACACATATCTGTGAGTCACTTGGTTTAGACTCATCACCGGAACCAACTATGTCATCAGAAATGATGGATCATACTTTTGGACATTCCCCTTTAATGACTCCACAGCCAAGTATGCCACAGGATGCCACACAATCGAGTCAGGAAGCACCTTTTCATATTCTGTAAGATCATGATTATATCAGTCGTGCTTATACATCAGGTATACTCATATTTTATTATTTTGTTATTATTTTCTTCTTATAATTATTATGATTGTTAATAATTTGTGTCAAATATGACGTTGTAGGTGTCGATTTGCGTCCACAATTTTCTGCGGAGGCTAGTCATCCACCATCGCAGCCAGAACAATTACCTGTTCAAAGAAATCCTCAAAGGGCTGCTAAGGAAAGACGACGACGGTGTATTCTAACTCCTGCTACTGTTAGAGGGCATGATCATGAGGAAGATGAGGAAGACGATGAAGAGTAGATTTTGTATAATTATGAATAGACAATAGTATAATTACATTATGTTATACAATGACCATGATGAATACACATTAATAATTACATTATCTTTACAAAAAGCCCCATTTACGTAAATAAGTTGGTCAACGACCCCACTTTGGTCAAAAAGCCCTCAAGTCAAGGTCTACGTCATTTGTTGACTCGATCGCCTGTGGTAGGGTCAATATGTGGACTTGCATTCAATTCCTTCAACTCTCTTCATAACACTTCCTTGCCAAATTTTTTTATATGTCTTTAATGTACCAATTCCTTTGTCATTTATGTGATACTTTACCTTAAGATAAGATATAGAAATAATGGCCCCTATTTGGTTCAATGATGGTTGACCCAGGAGCACGTTGTAGGTTGATAGGGGCATAGACAACAATGTATTTGATTATTATGTTTTTTTCTTTGGTGTTGTTGCCAAAAGTAGTTCTAAGCTCCATGAAGCCACATACTTCCACTTAGTCTCTTGAGAAATCAATCAATACTCCTTCATATGGTCTTAAGGCATCAAAAAGGATTGTTAGACCTAAAAATGTGTCCCAAAAAAGAACATTTGTCAAGCTTCCTTAGTCGACCAGAACGCGCTTCACATTTTACTTCATCATGGTCACCATGATTGCAACAAGATCATCCTCATGGGTATTGATGTCTTTGAGGTCATCGTCAGATAAGTTGATCACAGATGTCTTTGACTTTCTTGTTGATGTTGAGAGTGTTAGCACCGATCGAGCATACCTTTTTCAAGTAGATGGTTAGGCAGACTGTTGAAGCAGTCTAGGCTAGAGTCAATAAGAGAGTCTACAAATATATTCCACTTGATTGCATCCAATCCCCCACTAATCAACATCTTGATCTCCTAAGAAATTGATCAATAGTTCTTCATATATGGTCTTAAGGCATCAAAAAGGATAGCTAGACTTACAAAGGTGTCCCAAAAAAACAACATTTGTCGAGCTTCCTTGATTGACTAGAATGCACTTCACATTTTTCTTCATCATGGTTACCATGATTACAATAGGATCATCCTCATGGGGAGTGATGTCTTTGAGGTCATCGTCAGAGAAGTTGATCACAGGTGTCTTCGACTTTGTTGTTGATGATGAGAGTGTTAGCACTGATTAAACATACCTTTTTCGAGTAGACGATCATGTAGACTACTAAACCAGTCTAGGCTAGAGTTTGTAAAAGCGTCTACGAACATCTTACACTTAATCACATCCAATCCCCCACTAATCATTACCTTGGCACGAAACAACTTCAAATGCGATGATGGATCTTGAGAACCCATGTAGAGCTCTATTTTTGGCACCAAGAAACTAGCAAGGATTGGCTCTCCTTCGATTTCTACTAAGAATGTCTAAAAACCGCATAACAGTTCTACTATAATTTATCTTTCTATCCTTCTCAGGTTTTGTATTTGTTCCCATTATATCGCTTGTTCTTCCTTATGTTGTTCCCTTAGTAATTACTAGGCAAAATATGCCCCCTTTGCCTTTTTCCTTGCATCGACATTCTCATGTCGCATCCCTGTTAGCATTATTCTAACTTTTTCTTGTGAGAGAGCTTTCACCTCCTCACCATCATTAGGTATAAGAGGTATAGTATTATTTTGGGTGGAGTTTCCATTATTTCCTAATTGTACCATTGTTCTCAAGTAGAAAGAATCCTTAGGACGTCAAAAAAAGGTGTTTTAGCTTTGCCCTATGGTGGGCACCAATGTTCTGATATAGAACCTATGGTAGTTTTATCCAGAGAATAAAAATGAGTTTATGAGTAAAAACCTCAAACCTTCTACTTAGTCTCAATATTATGTAGTAGTCAGGTTATATATTTTTTGATTTTATTACATCGGGGCTTCTATATTATTTAGCTTGTTTATCTTATATTCTCAAGAAATCATTTATCATGGTGTATTGTTACCTTTTTCTAGACTGTTTAGATTGATAATGATAAGTATATTATTTTGTAGTTTCTTGGGTCAAGCTCATAAGCTTAGAAATAGGGATGATAAAAATTGAATAAATAAAAATATTTAATTTAAATTTTAAATTACAAATAAAATTTTTCAAAACACATTAAATGTATAGAAATAACTATAACAGAGTTTCTATTTATTATTCGTATTAATAGTTACTCTAAGAAAAAAAAAAATATGCAATGCTAATGATTTAGTAATTATATCTTTGTAACTCTAGAATGATTCAATTTATGCTCTTATTTATTATGTAGATATACCAAGAAAGATATAATGTTTAGTGAGACTATTGCAAAATATATATATATATATATATATATATATATAATTTATTATTGTTGATAATATATTAAATATAATATTTATGAATATATAGCTAATTATATTTTTAATTATTTATTTGAAAAATATTTTTTATCTAGTAAAATAATTTAAGTAGATTTATAAGAATAAAACCATTCATTTATTTTTAGGCACAACATCTTGAACTCAGTTGTCTCTTTGAAGGAGCATGATCATCAGTACTTTATACTAACTCCTATTAACTTGTGCATAATTCCGCAAGGTACTATAAAGGCCCTCATTAAATAACAATCACACGTTACATATATATCCTGCAAAAGAACAAATGTTGTATTTACATGTAGGGAAAGCTTTGCATATATCAGATCGCAAATATCCATGAAAAGCAGAAGCTGTGGGCATAAGTCGCTACATGGTTCAGCTTAAAGAAGGAATAACTTTGACTGCAAAAGAACAGATGTATAAATAAATAGAGTGAGGTGGTGCATGCATGATATGATATGAGTGAAAAAAGTAAGAAAGAAAGAAAGCATATATAGTGATACAAAGTGGAAGGAAGCAGGCCTAGAGAAGGCTGACCACAGACCCCACAAAGAGAAAGAAGCAAAAAAAGAAAGTATGTGTAAACAGCTTTATGGGGAATAAGGATGAATCAGGTTGCATGATTGAACTTTAGTAATTAATTAAAGACTCTCACTCTGCATATCCACATTTCAATTTTACACAACCTTTAGGCATGTATTATGTCATTAATATTATATATATTTTATCATCTATTATGTATAAAAAAAATATCTTAAAACATTAAAGAAATACATCGTATAAGAAGAGAGTAAATTCTTTTTTTAGTAATATAATTAATAGTTAGAGATTAATTCTTATTCTTTTGAGACGTACGACGTTATATTGAAATAGCTGTGTCTTCTCAAAAGATTATTTTTTATACATAGTCAGAAATCTAACCTTGTAAAACAGAACTATCTATCTATTGTGTTAGAATTGTTGATTTAATTAATGGTGCGATATAAAAAATAAAAAAAAGAACGCGAATCAGGTTTCATTGTCCTCTTTAAATATACAAGAATTAAAAGTCATTATATCTGCACATCTCTTTCTTGTCTTTTCCTTAGTTTTAACTAAATATCATTGTTTCAAAAAAAAAAAACTAAACATTATTCTTAATTTGACTAAACCAGATAATAATATTTACACACTTTATATTTAATTATATTTATATTCTATAGGAAAAATGGATAGGGAGAAATATTAGGGTAATGATAGATTGATTTTCTATCTTTATATAAAATTATTTTATTATATTTTTAATTCTTAAAATAATAAAATTTATTTTGATTGTTGTCTTCACAATAAAAAAAAAAAAAAAAGGAATTAATGCGAAGCTTTCTTTTTTTCTTTTGTTTACATAAAAGTGAACAGTATAGATGTAAAAACATTTTTATTTTAATCATTATGTGTAGGAATTAGATGAGATGATACTTTTCCTTTTACGAGATAAGAAGAAAAGGCAAAGAGAGTAGAGAGCATGCACACAAAACAAAAGAGAAAGATAAAAAATAAAATAAAATAAAAAAAGTATGTGGCATGAATATGACAGGACTGAGATCATCTGGATTTTGCGGTGTGAAAGTGGAAGAAGTGGTGGGAATAATTATGATAACAATAATAGATTGCAAGATATAGATTTATAGTTATAATCATGGGCCAAGAATATCACTTTCCTTTGTCATCTCTTTTTAAGGCATGATTAGGAAAAAGTTATTCAATCTTCTCCTTCTTCAAACAAAAGCCTTCCTTTCTCCCTCCTATATATCTTTCCCTTAAAACTTTTTTCCTTGGTTCATGTTTCCCAACTTTACTATAGACCAAAATAAAATAAGAGCAAAAACTTCTCAGATATATTGCATTAAAGAAATAAAAATATTTGTAAACTAAAAAGTTATTTAGGTATAATGGTTGAAAGTATGTTCACTGTATTGTGTACATTATGTCAAACGGTAAAGATGATTTGACATATCAACGAGGTATATACACTTGAAGAAGAAAAAATGATAAATATAATAATAAAACATAAAGATATAAAGTGGTAGATAAAAAATAAGATGTAAAGAAGCAAAATTGTGTGATAAATATGTCTTTGAAATTGAAAAAGTATCATCATTCCTTCCTCTTTTTTTCACCTTTCCTCTCCTCTTTCCACTCCAAACCACCGATTAATGTTGTGCCTATAATTGCTTTCAAAGTGACAAGTGCAATTGAAGGGGCGTTTTGTGGGCTCCTAAGGGGCTCACGAATAATGATCTTCGACCCTTATGCAATGTTGGGCCCAGCACCACATTTCATGCCTAGCAAAACTGTTTGAAAGTCCATTGGGC